CCCTCTGCCTCCCCCTCTGTCTCCCCCTCTGACTCCCCCTCTGTCTCCCCCTCTGCCCCCCCTCTATCTCCCCCTCTGTCTCCCCCTCTTCCCCCCCCCCCCCTCTGACTCCCCCTCTGTCTCTCCCTCTGTCTCCCCCTCTGTCTCTCCCTCTGCCTCCCCCTCTGCCTCCCCCTCTGCCCCCCCCCTCTGACTCCCCCCTCTGTCTTTCCCTCTGTCTCCCCCTCTGACTCCCCCTCTGTCTCCCCCTCTGACTCCCCCTCTGTCTCTCCCTCTGTCTCCCCCTCTGTCTCCCCCTCTGACTCCCCCTCTGTCTCCCCCTCTGCCTCCCCCTCTGTGGGGCACACACATAATACTAACATGAAGTAACACTGGTCTTTGATCTTTCTTTAAAAGGTAACTATTTATTTATGAAAAACGCTCATTTATATAATTTATATATAATACATTTATATATGATACATTTATATATGATACATTTATATCATTTATATATGATACATTTATATATGATACATTTATATCATTTATATATGATACATTTATATCATTTATATATGATACATTTATATATGATACATTTATATAATTTATATATGATACATTTATATCATTTATATATGATACATTTATATCATTTATATATGATACATTTATATATGATACATTTATATATGATACATTTATATATGATACATTTATACCATTTTATATATGATACATTTATATATGATACATTTATATATGATACATTTATACCATTTATATATGATACATTTACATCATATTTATTTGTATGGGGCGACAGTAGCTCAGTTGGTAGAGCATTGGCCTTTGGGCCTGGAGGTCGTGAGTTCAATTCCCACCATGGGACCTACTCCAACTGCTCCCACTGATGACTGCTGTCGTTGTGTCCTTGGGCAAGACACTTAACCCCACATTGCCTGAAGCCCCCCGCTGAAATATCAAGGCTGTTTCACAAGGGTTAGGGTTAGGGTTACCACCCCCCGACCCAGAAATGGACAAAGGGGTTGTAAATGAAATGAAAAAAAAAAAAAAACAAAAAAAAAAAACATTTATATATGATACATTTATATCAAAGATATTTGTCTCGAGATGTTTTAATGAAATAATTTAAACTCCTGTATAAAGGAAAACATGTGACTCCTTAACAAGCACATAACTCCTGTCGCTCTGCGTCAAATGTGTTATAACTAAATTATATTATATATATTATATGTTGTAATTATATAAATTATATGATCTATTATAATAATATTTATCCCACGCTCCTCACAGCAGCAGCAGAACCATTGATTTGAATGTAATTTCAAAACGTTCTATCGGTCATTATTTTCTATAACGGACCTCTCAAAACAATAATGACCGCTGCCCTTTGGCAACGCACTCTCTGCTTGTCTTTCAGATGCGTGGATAACTCCGCAAGTAGTTCCGGCCACTCCAGAGCTAGCCACGCTCAATATTACTAGCCTAACTGTTACTAGCCTAACTGTTACTAGCCTAACTGTTGCTAGCCTAACTGTTGCTAGCCTAACTGTTACTAGCCTAACTGTTACTAGCCTAACTGTTGCTAGCCTAACTGTTACTAGCCTAACTGTTACTAGCCTAACTGTTACTAGCCTAACTGTTGCTAGCCTAACTGTTACTAGCCTAACTGTTGCTAGCCTAACTGTTACTAGCCTAACTGTTACTAGCCTAACTGTTACTAGCCTAACTGTTACTAGCCTAACTGTCACTAGCCTAACTGTCACTAGCCTAACTGTTACTAGCCTAACTGTTACTAGCCTAACTGTTGCTAGCCTAACTGTTGCTAGCCTAACTGTTACTAGCCTAACTGTTACTAGCCTAACTGTTACTAGCCTAACTGTCACTAGCCTAACTGTTGCTAGCCTAACTGTTACTAGCCTAACTGTTACTAGCCTAACTGTTACTAGCCTAACTGTTACTAGCCTAACTGTTGCTAGCCTAACTGTTGCTAGCCTAACTGTTGCTAGCCTAACTGTTACTAGCCTAACTGTTACTAGCCTAACTGTTACTAGCCTAACTGTTACTAGCCTAACTGTTACTAGCCTAACTGTTACTAGCCTAACTGTTGCTAGCCTAACTGTTGCTAGCCTAACTGTTACTAGCCTAACTGTTACTAGCTTAACTGTTACTAGCCTAACTGTTACTAGCCTAACTGTTACTAGCCTAACTGTTACTAGCTTAACTGTTACTAGCCTAACTGTTACTAGCCTAACTGTTACTAGCCTAACTGTTACTAGCCTAACTGTTACTAGCCTAACTGTTGCTAGCCTAACTGTTGCTAGCCTAACTGTTGCTAGCCTAACTGTTACTAGCCTAACTGTTACTAGCCTAACTGTTACTAGCCTAACTGTTACTAGCCTAACTGTTACTAGCCTAACTGTTACTAGCCTAACTGTTGCTAGCCTAACTGTTGCTAGCCTAACTGTTACTAGCCTAACTGTTACTAGCCTAACTGTTACTAGCCTAACTGTTACTAGCCTAACTGTTACTAGCCTAACTGTTACTAGCCTAACTGTCACTAGCCTAACTGTTACTAGCCTAACTGTTACTAGCCTAACTGTTACTAGCCTAACTGTTACTAGCCTAACTGTTACTAGCCTAACTAGCTAACTGTTACTAGCCTAACTACTAGCCTAACTGTTACTAGCCTAACTGTTACTAGCCTAACTGTTCTAGCCTAACTGTTGCTAGCCTAACTGTTGCTAGCCTAACTGTTACTAACCTAACTGTTACTAGCCTAACTGTTACTAGCCTAACTGTTACTAGCCTAACTGTTACTAGCCTAACTGTTACTAGCCTAACTGTTACTAGCCTAACTGTTGCTAGCCTAACTGTTACTAGCCTAACTGTTACTAGCCTAACTGTTACTAGCTAACTGTTACTAGCCTAACTGTTACTAGCCTAACTGTTACTAGCCTAACTGTTACTAGCCTAACTGTTGCTAGCCTAACTGTTACTAGCCTAACTGTTGCTAATGCCTAACTGTTACTAGCCTAACTGTTACTAGCCTAACTGTTACTAGCCTAACTGTTGCTAGCCTAACTGTTGCTAGCCTAACTGTTACTAGCCTAACTGTTACTAGCCTAACTGTTGCTAGCCTAACTGTTACTAGCCTAACTGTTGCTAGCCTAACTGTTACTAGCCTAACTGTTACTAGCCTAACTGTTACTAGCCTAACTGTTGCTAGCCTAACTGTTACTAGCCTAACTGTTGCTAGCCTAACTGTTACTAGCCTAACTGTTGCTAGCCTAACTGTTACTAGCCTAACTGTTACTAGCCTAACTGTTGCTAGCCTAACTGTTGCTAGCCTAACTGTTACTAGCCTAACTGTTGCTAGCCTAACTGTTGCTAGCCTAACTGTTACTAGCCTAACTGTTGCTAGCCTAACTGTTACTAGCCTAACTGTTACTAGCCTAACTGTTACTAGCCTAACTGTTGCTAGCCTAACTGTTACTAGCCTAACTGTTGCTAGCCTAACTGTTACTAGCCTAACTGTTGCTAGCCTAACTAGCAACAGTTACATTTGACAGTTACATTTCTGTGTTACTATACTTTGCAGTGTAACACGTCACGTAACTATATACATTTAACAGGGAACAGTTTGGTAGCTTCTAGCGGGAGCTACCTTTTGGGTACTATACAGTATACAGAGGAGGCTGCATTTGTGCTCCCGTTTTTGCTCCGTTTGCATGACAGAGCGCACGGACTAAGACCAGACAGGTACGTATTAACTAGTCTAAGGTAAGAACATATGTCAGTATGTAAAAACGGTGAACTATTCCTTTAATGTACAGACAGAGCCTTAATGCACAGTCTGTGTGTGTCTGTGTGTGTTTGTGTGCGTCTGTGTCTGTGTGTGTCTCTGTGTGTGTGTGTGTGTATCTGTGTGTGTGTGTGTATCTGTATGTGTCTCTGTGTGTGTCTGTGTGTGTCTCTGTGTGTGTGTGTGTGTCTGTCTGTGTGTGTCTCGCTGTGTGTGTCTCTGTGTGTGTGTGTGTCTGTCTGTGTGTGTCTGTCTGTGTGTGTATCTGTGTGTGTCTCTGTGTGTGTGTCTGTGTGTGTGTCTGTGTGTGTGTCTGTGTGTGTCAAAGTAACTGATGATGATTCTTTCTGCTGCGCTCGCTGTAAATTCCAGGTCTTTGCCGTGACCTGACGCTGGCACCCACTCTGTCTGGGGGGGTCTGGGGGGTCCCTGGGTCTCAGCTCATCCCTCACACAGACAGGCCCTGGCACCACTTCAGCAGGTTTGGACAGAAGGAGGATTCTCACACGTCATCAGTCTGTCGTAGTAGTAGTAGTAGTATTTGTAGTAGTAATCGTAGCAGCATCAGTGGCAGTTGTAGTAGTGGTATAGTAGTAGTAGGAACAGCAGCAACATCAGTAGTTTTAGTAGTAGTAGCAGTAATAGTAGTAGTAGCCACTGTAGTAGAAGTAGTAGTGGTATAGTAGTCATAGTAGTAGTAGTATTAGTAGTAGTAGTAGTAGTAGTAGTAGTATTTGTAGTAGTAATCGTAGCAGCATCAGTGGCAGTTGTAGTAGTGGTATAGTAGTAGTAGGAACAGCAGCAACATCAGTAGTTTTAGTAGTAGTAGCAGTAATAGTAGTAGTAGCCACTGTAGTAGAAGTAGTAGTGGTATAGTAGTCATAGTAGTAGTAGTATTAGTAGTAGTAGTAGTAGCAGCAGTAGCAGTAGCAGTAGTGGTGGTAGTGGTATAGTAATAGCAGCAGTAGTAGTAGCAGTAGTAGTACAGTATCAGTAGCAGCAGTAGCAGTTGTAGTAGTGGTACTGGTATAGTAGTATTAGTAAAGTAGTGGTGGTTGTGGTATTTTAGTAGTAGAAGTAGTAGTAGAAGTATTATAGTATTTGCATGATGTTGCTCTCCTCTGTCCGTCTCTCAGTGGGACGTCGTGTCGGGGTGGGGGTCCAATTACAGCTCGACGGGGTCCTTCCGCTGAGAGCTGATTGGCTGAGAGAGGCTGAAAGCTGATTGGCCGAGAGAGGGTGGTCCCAGGGGTCTGCACCACGGCGACGGAATCAAAGCGGATTAAGCAATATCCACAGAGTAAGATCTCACTGTAGGGACTGTGAGATTAAGGAGAGGTATTCTACTGGTACTGGTGCTGCTACTGCTACTGCTGCTACTGCTGCTACTGCTGCTGCTACTGCTGCTACTGCTGCTACTGCTGCTACTGCTGCTGCTGCTACTGCTACTGCTGCTACTGCTACTGCTACTGCTGCTGCTACTGCTGCTACTGCTGCTACTGCTGCTGCTGCTACTGCTACTGCTGCTGCTGCTGCTACTGCTGCTACTGCTACTGCTACTACTACTGCTACTGCTACTGCTACTACTACTGCTACTGCTACTGCTGCCACTACTGCTACTGCTGCTACTGCTACTACTACTGCTGCTACTGCTACTGCTGCTACTGCTACTGCTACTACTACTGCTACTGCTACTGCTACTACTGCTACTACTGCTGCTAATGCTACCACTACTGCAACTGCTGCTACTGCTACTGCTACTACTACTACTACTGCTACTACTACTACTACTGCTACTACTGCTACTACTACTGCTACTACTACTACTATTGCTACTGCTACTGCTGCTACTGCTACTGCTACTACTACTACTACTGCTACTACTACTACTACTGCTACTGCTGCTACTGCTACTACTACTACTACTACTACTACTACTACTGCTACTACTACTGCTACTATTGCAACTACTACTACTAATACTACTGGTACAGCTGTTACTGCTACTACATCTGCTGCTACTGCTGCTGCTGCTGGTCTCCCTCTGGTGGCAACAGAGGGAGTTACAGGCAGAAAGCATTTTTTATCTTCTTACTAATTTCTCTATATATTCTCTACTGAACATTGTATCAAAGTAAGCAACCTCATTATAATTTTTGTTCCGTTGCAGCTCCCCCTCCTTCCCCCTCCTCCCTCCTCCCCCCCCCGGTCCCGATGGGGCCTCGGCGTTCTGGCCCCGCAGCTCGATCACCGCGGCTCTAATCCACCTCCAGCGTGTCCCGCTGTGAGACAAGTCCAGGATTGAGGCTCGCAGCTGCCGAGACCGAGGCGGGCAGACGGAGCGACGGGATTGGTCGGCACGTTCGAGCCGGAGCGCGGAGATTACGGCAGACCGAGGGTGTACCACAGCTGACGCCAAATCCCAGCTCCGCTAACAGCTTTTTACACTGACCCTGAGCTCATCGCCAACTTCTCTGATTCTGAAGAAACTTGGTTTTACTGAAGCTGTGGTGTTGTTGCTGTGGTTGCTATGGTGTTGTTGCAGTGGTGTTGTTGCTGTGGTTGCTATGGTGTGGTTGCAGTGGTGTTGTTGCTGTGGTTGCTATGGTGTGGTTGCAGAGGTGTTGTTGCTGTGGTTGCTATGGTGTGGTTGCAGTGGTGTTGTTGCTGTGGTTGCAGTGGTGGTGTTGCTGTGGTTGCTATGGTGTTGTTGCAGTGGTGGTGTTGCTGTGGTTGCTATGGTGTTGTTGCAGTGGTGTTGTTGCTGTGGTTGCTATGGTGTGGTTGCAGTGGTGGTGTTGATGTGGTTGCTATGGTGTTGTTGCAATGGTGTTGTTGCTGTGGTTGCTATGGTGTGGTTGCAGTGGTGTTGTTGCTGTGGTTGCTATGGTGTGGTTGCAGTGGTGGTGTTGCTGTGGTTGCAATGGTGTTGGTGCTATGGTTGCTATGGTGTTGTTGCCATAGTTGCTATGGTGTTTGTGCTATGGTTGCGATGGTGCTGTTGCTATAGTTGCTATTGTGTTGTTGTGTTGCTGTGGTTGCTATGGTGTTGGTGCTATGGTCGCTATGGTGTTGTTGCCATAGTTGCTATGGTGTTGGTGCTATGGTCACTATGGTGTTGTTGCTATAGTTGCTATGGTGTTGTTGTGTTGTTGTGGTTGCTATGGTATTGTTTCTATGGTTGCTATGGTGTTGGAGCTATGGTCGCTATAGTGTTGTTGCTATGGTTGCTATGGTGTTGTTGCTGTGGTTGCTATGGTGTTGTTGCAGTGGTGTTGTTGCTGTGGTTGCTATGGTGTGGTTGCAGTGGTGTTGTTGCTGTGGTTGCTATGGTGTGGTTGCAGTGGTGTTGTTGCTGTGGTTGCTATGGTGTGGTTGCAGTGGTGGTGTTGCTGTGGTTACTATGGTGTTGTTGCTGTGGTTGCTATGGTGTGGTTGCAGTGGTGGTGTTGCTGTGGTTGCTATGGTGTTGTTGCAGTGGTGGTGTTGCTGTGGTTGCTATGGTGTTGTTGCAGTGGTGTTGTTGCTGTGGTTGCTATGGTGTGGTTGCAGTGGTGGTGTTGCTGTGGTTGCTATGGTGTGGTTGCAGTGGTGTTGTTGCTGTGGTTGCTATGGTGTGGTTGCAGTGGTGGTGTTGCTGTGGTTGCTATGGTGTTGGTGCTATGGTTGCTATGGTGTTGTTGCCATAGTTGCTATGGTGTTTGTGCTATGGTTGCCATGGTGTTGTTGCTATAGTTGCTATTGTGTTGTTGTGTTGCTGTGGTTGCTATGGTTGCTATGGTGTTGGTGCTATGGTCGCTATGGTGTTGTTGCCATAGTTGCTATGGTGTTGGTGCTATGGTCACTATGGTGTTGTTGCTATAGTTGCTATGGTGTTGTTGTGGTTGCTATGGTATTGTTTCTATGGTTGCTATGGTGTTGGAGCTATGGTCGCTATAATGTTGTTGCTATGGTTGCTATAGTGTTGTTGCTATGGTGTTGGTGCTATGGTCGCTATGGTGTTGTTGCTATGGTGTTGTTGCTATGGTCGCTATGGTGTTGTTGCCGTGGCGTTTGCGCTAAGGTTGCTATGGTGTTGGTGCTATGGTTACTCTGGTGTTGTTGCTGTGGTTGCTACGGTGTTGGTTCTATGGTTGCTTTGGTGTTGCTGCTATGGTGCGGTGCTATGATGTTGTTGCTATGGTTGCTATGGTGTGGTGCTATGGTCGCTATGATGTTGTTGCTATGGTGTTGGTGCTATGGTTGGTGCAGGCTGTAAAACAGCTGCAGTACATTCAAAATGCAGCAGCTCGAGTCCTGACTAGAACCAGGAAGTACGACCACATTAGTCCAGTCCTCAGGTCTCTGCACTGGCTTCCTGTGGCTCAGAGAATAGACTTTAAAACAGCTCTGCTTGTTACAAGTCTCTCCATGGCCTCGCACCAAACTATATTAGTGACATGTTAGTCCCATATGAACCAGCCCGGACTCTGAGGAGCACAGGGACTGGACTCCTGCTGGGACTCTGAGGAGCACAGGGACTGGACTCCTGTTAGTGCCCAGAGTCAGAACTAAACATGGGGAGGCTGCTTTTCAGATTCATGCTGCTAAAATCTGGAACAGTCTTCCTGAAGATGTGAGACAGGCCTCCTCTCTGACAATGTTTAAAACCAAGTAAAAAACGGTGCTGTTTAGCTGTGCATACAACTGAGGGATTTTATATTTTTATCTTTCATTTTAATGTTCTGTGATTATTTATGATTTTAATGCTATCTTGTTTTGTTCAGCACTTTGAGTTGCCTTGTGTATGAATTGTGCTATAAAAATAAACTTGCCTTGCCTTGCCTTGCCTATGGTCGCTATGGTGTTGTTGCTATGGTTGCTATGGTGTTGGTGCTATGGTCGCTATGGTGTTGTTGCTATGGTTGCTATGGCGTTATAGTTTAAGATTAAGATTAAGATTAAGAGATCCTTTATTCGTCCGACAGTGGGGAAATGTCAGTGTTGCATCACAAGTTATAGAACAGTAGGAAAGAGCAGCACACAGCACAAGTGAACAGTAGCTAAACTATCAAAGGAAGGTTTCTCACTCCTCATCTGCTGAGAACAGATGATGGTGAGAAACCTTCCTTTGCTTTGACTAATCCCTGTACGACTGAGAGCTTACACAAACTAATAGCTATACTAATTAAAATAAAACAAAATCTCTAACTCTAGCATCAAATAACAAATATAAAATCTCTATCTTGAAATAACAATAATAAATTAAAGCCGCAAGCGGCGTCGAATGGCCCTCGCCGCACAACGCAACCGAGGTGGCGCTGACGCGCCATTTTCCTACCGCCCTGATGGGAGCGACACTGTGTATTTTGAATTCTTATGATCAGTGATTGTTTGTGTCTTTGAAAAGGTAAACCCCAGTCTCTCCATGTAACACTTGTATCACTCTGTAGGGGGCGCTATTGCTGCAATTTCGTCTTTAACACTTTCAGTTTACCCAAACCCGAGAGTTGAACAATCAATTCAAATTTTGTGCAAATCGGACTTTGTATGTGCAAATGGTGGCATTTAATGTTGTACAACAGCGCCCCCTACAATTTAATTTTTTTAGTGTTATACCAAAGAACACCAAAATAATACACTTTATGCCTGAAAAAAACTTGTGGCAAAGTTTGGTGATTTTTTATGTTTGTTCAGTGGGTCAAATATGAGATCAAACAACATAAAACCTAAATACCTGTATCCCCATGTAAACCTTTACTCAGCCTGTAGGGGGCGATAATGGGCCAATGTCATTGTTCACACTGTCATGTGACCTAGGCCCAGGAGTTGAACAACCGAGTCAAGTTTAGTGCAAATCAGAGTTTGTAAATGTGCTCCTGTTTCACATACAATCTGTGAGTGTGTCTATACAGTCTCCATTGGATAACATGGGAACTTCACACCTCTCTATGAAAATAACCACACTTTGGGAGTCTGTCACACGCAGACCGTTTGACTAATTAAAATTCTATATGCAACTATTGATGGTCCATGTGTTGAGACCATGTGGAGCGATCTTCAGACAAATTTGAGAACGATTTTCTCATAGACACAGACAAGGGGAGTGTTGGTCGTCGCCACGGCAACAGGGTTAAAAAAATACATATGTTGTCATTGACTTTTTGAATCCAGATGACAAAACAGAATTATGTACAAAACTTCAAACATTTTGACAAAACTAAATTTTAAAAAGCCCATGTAAAGCTTTAACATGGTCTGTAGGGGGCGCTAATGAGCCAATTTCAATATTTCAACTTTCAAATGACCTAGACCCTGGAGCTGAACAATGGATTAAAATTTTGTGCAAATCTGACTTTTTTTGTGCAAATGGGAGCAAATTTGCTTTTGTCAAAAATTGAGAAAAAAATGTAAAATTTTGCCGCTCCGCTGCTCGGACAACGTTTACTGTAACTGATCCAAATTCTATATTCAATAATAGATGGGACATGGGTTTAGACCATGTGGAGCAATTTTGAGACAAATCGGTGAAGCGGCCGAGGAGGAGATAATTTCCAGCCGACATGTGTGAAAAAGATCAATTTTCATTTTTCCATTTTCCATTGAAATTAATGAGCTCCCTGTTTGTCAGGGGGCGGAGCCATAATAACTTTTTTTCATGTCTTGACCTGAGGAACATGTGTACCGAATTTCGTGGCTTGACCTCCGACCTCCTCCCATAGGCGCAATGTAAACTGACTTTTGTAGGGGGCGCTGTTCGGTCATTTTTTTAGTCCCATAAAAATAAACACCAAAAAAATTTATTTTTTGCCGGTTTTGAATTTTGGGCAAAATTTCACAACTTTTCATCAATGTTCAGGGGGTCAAATTAAAGTTCAAAGTGCAGAAGAAAAAATAAATAAATAAGTAATTTTTTTTTTTAAATCTTCGAGCAAAAACAATATAGGTTTCCATAGTAACCTATAATACAAATGATACGTTGTTTTAAAGCGAACGACGAGGCGAACGCAACTATTGGGTTCTCGGTGATTGACGAGCGCGTCCCTCGCCATCATGAGGTCACCCACCCCGCCCATAGGACCCCATTCATTACACTGTGTACTACAGCAGGAGCAAAGCCATTCAGTGCCTCTGGCACTGTTTTGTCAGTGTCTGGGCACGCGCCGTCGGGCTCCGTAAGACACTTGAAAGAACCCCCCTTTAATAGGACCTCAATCATTTCACTGTGTACTACAGCAGGAGCAAAGCCATTCCGTGCCTCCGGCACGGATTTATCAGTGCTTGGGCACGTGCCGTCGCGTGCAGGTCACAATCTCCGGGCTGCGCCCGTAGAGATGATCATTTTAGCACAATTACTTTACAATTACAATTACTTTTAACAAAGTAACTTTCGTGGGCTATTGACTGCGGAAGTCTGAATCTGTGAAAATGACGCTACTTTACCAAACTTCTGCCGTAATGATGCTGCGGGCACGGCCCACGCTGGCGACTGTCAACATCAATGGATGTGATCAAGCCTACGCCCCTTTGACACTGATTGGCCGAAAGGTAGATGCTTAAACTGTGATCATTACTGTGTGTGTGTGTGTGTGTGTGTGTGTGTGTGTGTGTGTGTGTGTGTGTGTGTGTGTGTGTGTGTGTGACATGCAGTGAGTGATGCATTTAAGGTGGCTCTGGAAATACGGGACAAAAGCCGTCCCGTATCCATTCAATACGGGACGCACATAGTTTTTCTATAATACGGGACAATTCTGTATTTCAAGGGACGGTTAGCAACCCTTGCTCTGATACTACTCTGATACTACTCTGATACTACTCTGATACTACTCTGATACAACTCTGATACTACTCTGATACTACTCTGATACAACTCTGATACTACTCTGATACTACTCTGATACTACTCTGATACAACTCTGATACTACTCTGATACTACTCTGATACTACTCGGATACAACTCTGATACTACTCTGATACTACTCTGATACTACTCTGATACTACTCTGATACAACTCTGATACTACTCTGATACTACTCTGATACTACTCTGATACAACTCTGATACTACTCTGATACTACTCTGATACTACTCTGATACTACTCTGATACAACTCTGATACTACTCTGATACAACTCTGATACTACTCTGATACTACTCTGATACAACTCTGATACTACTCTGATACTACTCTGATACTACTCTGATACAACTCTGATACTACTCTGATACTACTCTGATACTACTCTGATACTACTCTGATACAACTCTGATACTACTCTGATACTCGTAATAATCTGCTTTGACCTGAACATATTGTTCTTTGACACAGACCTGGTGGGGGCCTCCTCTCTCCTCTGGGTCCTGTGTCGCCCCCTGTGGCTCCTGGTGCAGATGGCTCCTTGGATGGTGCTTCTTCAGTTGAATGCATCTACACCCAGCCCTATATCTTTCCATCGTTCTACCTATTTTACCTATATGTTGTGACTTTGTATGTGTCTGTGGCTGTGTGTGTGTTTGTGTGTGTGTGTGTGTTTGTGTGTGTGTACATTTGTATGTCTGTGCCATAGACTGTATATATTAATGGACAGAGTCACGCCTCCACCGTTCTAACTAATGGGCCAAAAAATGTGCTCTACTGGAGCAATCCAAAATGGCCGCGAGTGGTCCCGCCCACAAGAAAATTGTGAAAAAACGCATCTGCGCATGCG